ATGGTGTTGAATTTTATGTGTTAGATTTAGCGTTCCTGGTTGTGTTAATACAGGACTGGTCAACATTTTCATCTGCAGCCCATACCATGTACCCACGGTAAAAATGCATGTCGAGAACGTCTGAGACAGTATACCACGGTACTTGTAAGTTAAGAAGTCGTACTATACGCCGAAAACATCCAAGATTGCGCAAGAGGGCGTTGACCCCTGACCCATTGGCCCACCCGGAAGTTGCGCTGGCAGCCAGCCCAGCGCCGCGCGCGACAATTTTCAGATTTTTACGCCCCAAAACACATATACAATAAAAACAAAAAAACCTGCACCATCTACAGCCCATTAGAAGAACATACACCGAGTCCAGTCTACCCCAACGCGAGATACAACTGCGATAATATTTCAAAATACATATCGGAAGCAGACACCCCTCTGTTTGACCCCTTTTAAATGGTAAGACCCAAAACTGAAACCTCCCCATTCCTTAACAACATGGTAAATTCCATTTTCAGCATGGCGGGGGTGTCCGGAGCACTTAAAAACCTTTTATTTCGACGCCCATAAACACATATACAATTAAACAAAAACGTTCTGCATCATCTGCAGCCCAATAGCAATACGTACACCGAACAACAGACCAATCCGTCCAGCCGATCGCGAGAAACAGCTGCTGACAGAAATGTTTCGAACAATAGTAAAACCTCCTCGCGGAAGGATGTCTCCTTCCCCGGAGGTAACAATAGAGATGACATCACAGCTTTCTATTCCAACCACAACAGGAAACATCCTTCTGACTTGGCTGAACCTAGGTCTTATCTTTGCGCACCAGACAGTCAGCCAATGCCTCCATATCTTAATTGTGCCAAGGGTCCAGGGTCCTGTCAGATACACAATCTAACATCACTATTTATGTCTCTATCAACAATAACTCTGAATATGGTACCAGATAACCTTCTAGACTTTTGGTCCAGGGAAAGACCAAGGGGACAAAAGTTTCGGTTTTGCTGCAACCAGACAAGAAATGTCGTTGAAATGTTGACATGTGAAGGTGATTATCCTTTCAACTCTATAGTCCTGGGAACTTCCCTTGTACAAGTGGTTACAGATATGGCATCCACATGCCTTTACATGCTCTATTTCTTTACATTGGATCTTGTTGAAAAATGGTCTGTTGATCTTTCTTTGTGCAACGACAAATGATTAAGTTAAGGTGAGCAAGAAGGCATAACTGAAGACAGTTTCTCCTTTATGTTTTGAACTCTGTGCCATGGTCAATTACTTGCAGATAGCCTACTTTTTGTATTTATCTATAGTTATGTTTTCTTTTTGGGTGACAGTTTTGAAAATACCAACTCTCGCAGAAATCTTTCACGATAACTCTCGAGGGTACAAATCCGTTGTGAACAAATATCAATATTTACATCAAAATAACATCCACTAGACGTAGAGCCAGACAAAATATTGCGTCAGTCAAAAGTTTTCTGATAAAAAGTACAGTCTGTCTCTGCTAGACCTCTCCATAACTGGACATACACAAGCCAGACATGACTATTTTTACCCTACTTACCTCACTGACATTGGTTTATCTTATCTTCTTAATCCTGGCCAGAGGCACCACTCCTCTGCTCTCTAGATAAAGTACCAGCTCCACATTTATGTGGGCAACTCTACAAGTGGCCAGGGAACAGTTTAAAACGCACAGAAAAATTAGTGTTCCAAAGATGATAACATGTTGCTTATTTTCACTTTTTTCATGTACGTTTCCACCTTCTTAAATTTCTTAAATGATTCTTCAGTTAATTGTGGTCACTGTTGTGTAGCCAAACTTTTTTTAATGAAAGAAAAACAGAGCAATCCAATAATACTGCATAATATTTAGTCATAGCTTTTTCTAGAAATCCTGAACCCAGCAACGCATGTTTTCTTGAACTTTAAGCAGTCCCCACAGAATGTGAATAATTAATCTTTCGTTGCAGCAAAAGCGACTTCTTCGTGATTCAGAGCCTGTCTTTTCAAAATTCCCCAGACATCCATAGAATGCCAAGTAGGGGGTAACTACTCAAACATAATTTGCAAAGCCGTAAGTAAATTGTAAGTTCGGACGACATGAAATACTTTCCAAGTTCCTAAGGAAAATGTCATTTGGTGGAAGCCTACAGGTATGACAACGCTGATCCATGGTGCATTAACAGCAGTTGGGAGATGTGCTTCAAAGAGAGATCTGACTGCACAACACTTTCTAATGATGATAATGACAAATTGAAAACCTCTCCACCACTTCCTCCCCTATCTGTGGTGCACTTGAAATGCAAATGCCAGCAGGGTCGGACAAAGGGCAACTCAAAATTGGGGATAAGTACTGGAAATTCTAGATTGTGGTTTTCAGTCACGTTTTGGGTTTGCACTACATGTAGATAGCATTATTAGGCATGATAAGACAGATACAGCATTTCCTCTCTATAAAACATTTACGATCATTTCCAAGTTGACTGCTAACATGCCTTTGCCATATGGAACTTGTAAAAGATGACTCAAAAATCAAACACTTGGCGTTAGCCCAACACTAACAAATGACTATGGTACACTTTTGTTGATAGCTACTTATGACTTTCGATGCTCGGGCTATGTAAGCAATGCGGCACAGTTCCAAGACTACTTCGAAAACACAAGTTCAACTTTGCTCACATATAAAAACACGGTCCCTAATGATCTACATATGGGAGATTTATGGAAATAACCCCTTGATAAACATTCAAGGGCTGATATGTTACATAAGAAGAAACTTAGATACACATATGAAATCTTTCGTGCAATATTATGTTATTTGGTAAAAAACAAAAGTTCTTGAAAGATTATAGGATGGTACAACTGCTGAAACATCTAGATATCAACAATTCCTTGTAAAACATGGTGACTAAACCCTTGGATAAACTAACACGGGAAAGGAAGTAACATCTGGTGCCAAAGGTGTGGCAATACACCAATTTTTCCCTGCCTAACCCTAGATTCATCGAATTCCTTTCAACCTGCAATATATTACCATAGACATATCTACAAGGTACATGTAACTGAATTCCTCTGTTCGCAGCTGGCTTTGATGCATTTTGTCCAACATTTCCTCTGCTAGAAGCATACATGAGCAAGACAGACAATACGTAATAATCTGCAAAGCCTGTTATTATATGTTGTCATTTCATTATCCACCATTCTACCAACCAAGTCTGCTTTCTTGTGTCACAGACCTCCCAAAATGAAATTTCAGGACACCCAATCATCTACCAGTTGCTTTTGGCAGTGAACTGGTAAACCTGAGCATCCCAAGCGCTGCTTTGTTATTCTGTGCCACAAGATGCTCTGTCATAGAATACCAGTAAGTCCTGCAACTGTTGGATAAAGGCTGTCAGGATTGGATCAAACACCTTGTAACTGATACCTTAATCTTGCCCAGAGGCACAGTCTGTTGCCTTCTTCAATTCATACTGCATGATTACTTTCACCTCCTTTTTTTTTCATACCCTCTTAACCCACATATTTTCTGTCAGGAATTAGTTTGAAGTACAACAGCTTGACTGTCATCTTGAAGTCTGTTTTGACTTCATTTTTATCAA